AGCAGCAGCAGTAGCAGTAGCATGAGGGCTGGCGGTATAGCAGCAACACCAGAAATGACAGAGTCAACAGGTTGTATGGTCAGTGGCTTCTGTGTTTGATCGTGGTCTTTGAAGATGCAACTGAAAGATGCAGGGTATTGTTCTTGTCAGCATCAAAACAGGAGGAGTTGCAGCAAGACGAAGGCACAATGTAGTCGTGGGAGTATTCGCGCACGTAGTAACAGGGTTCGTGCATAGCTCAGAGGCATAAACCAACTCGGAATTCCGATAAGAACTGCAGGAGCAGTCCCAGCAAGATACTTCTCTCAACAGAACTGCTAGGGTCTCGCATGCGTGACAAGAGGAGATGTATGTTCACAGTTTTCATAAGCACCGGTAGTTTTCATTATATATATCTTCGGTGTCAGGTCGTCATTAGATCAACATCATCATCATCACCATCATGATGATGATGATGATGCAGATATCATCGTCGTCACCAGAACACAAACATCAACACCAACTTCAACACCAACATCAACATCTACATCACCATCATCATTGTCATCATCATGAGCCCAAAATCCGCGCCCTTGACCTGATTCCAACATTGTGTCGTATGCGCAGTGGTTTAGGTGGTGGACTACTATGTGGCAGCGAGTTGCTTCTGTGCGGTGGCGGTTGCCACTGAGGCCGGCTTTTGCCGGCTTTTGCCTCATGAAGGAAGGACCTGGGCCTCCCGCAATCTGCTATACTCGCTGACCTGTGAGCGAAGCTAGGGCCGCAGATCGTGAACGGGCATGATACACTCCGCAAGGTGGCAAACAGGCACGACCGACAAATGCCTTAAGCAAAGAAAGACTCCGTGTCTTCTCGGCCCAAACCCGGACGGGGCGGATAATGCAGAAATCCGTAACATTGGCTTGAATGTGGAGGACTTCTGTGCATGTCTCTTTATGTTAAGGGTCGTGGTGATGGTGATGATCATGATTTAGATGGTTGCGACTGGAACAGCTGGTCCGCTCTTATTGTGATTGTTGCTCTTGTGGAGACCGCTGCCACGTTTTTGTTGAAACTAGCTCTACTGTCCACAATCAACTCTTTACTGCCACTTGCTTGTGGTGTTGGTGCTGGCATAGTTCTAGCTACGCTTGCTACCGACAGTTTCTCTCAGGGCAGCAACATACAAAAAAAACAAACTAGCTTTGTACTGTGGCTGCTGAGGTTTTTGTTCATGTTCTCTGAAAGTTCCCTGACATCAGGGCCCTCGCATGGGCACCGTTTGGTCTTTGCTGACCCTCATCCTCGGCGCTCCCTTCGCCTGTGCGTACACGGCCTTGCACATCTACCGCTCCTGGGCCTCAAGAAGGACCAGGGGCTCCCTCTAAGCCCTACGACTCTAGGGGGGTAAACCTTATAACCTAAACCCTGAAACCTAAACCATAAAGCCTAAACCTTAGAACCTAAGCCCTGAAACCTAAACCCGAAAGCCTAAGCCTTAAGACCTAAACCCTGAAACCTAAACCCTGCAACCCTGAACCCTGCAAGCCTACACCTGAGGAAGCTCTGAAGCTAGGGTTGATGATAGAAATCCTGCATTAAGGACCCTAAACGGGAATTATCTGTATAAGGACCCTAAGCTATGGGAGTTATGATGTATAAGGGCCCTAAACTATGGGAATGATGGTCTACTCCTTCTTATTGGGTCACGCAGGATTTATGTCATCAACGGTAAGAGCCCTAGAGCCGAGAGGTTGAAGCCTCAGCGCTGCACGTCGCCTTTTTTTTTTTGCTCCCCTTGAAAGAACCCTAAAAACTAGACCCGAGACCCTAAACCCTTAGGGTTTAGGGTTAGGGTTTAACCCTAACCCCTTGACTCTAAACCCTAAACCCTTAGGGTTTAGGGTTTAGGCTCCAAAGTCTTCGAAGAAAGGCCTGAAACCCTTTATGCTCTGAGGCCTCAAATCCTAAACGATAGACCCTGAATCCTGGGTTTAGGGTTTAGGGTTTAGAGTTTAAGGGTTTAGGGTTTTTAGGGTCCTAAACCCTAAACCCTAAATAAACCCTCAACCCCCTACCTTAAGTTTTAAAAGGGTCTGGGAATTTCGGGCCTTTTCGGAGTTGCAGTGGGGCCTTCTATTTTTGTTTTCGGATGGATGGGATTGAGGCTTCAGGGTTTGCAGGTTTTGCAGTTGCTGGTGCTAGGTGCCCTAATCCCTAAACCCTAGACTTTAAACCCAACCCTAAACCCTAAACCCTGAACCCTAAACCCTAAACCCTAAACCGTCAAGACGGCGGCGATTTCTTCCAAACCGGGGGCAAGGGCCAAAGAAACCCTGCTGTCCTCACGGAGCGGGGAGCAAACATCCAACTCTTGCAAGTTTGCGTGGTCATGAGGGTCCATCATGGCTACTTACTGATGGCTTTAGGGTTTAGGTTTCTTCTTTTCAGCAGCTGTACGTTCACATGTCTATAGCATTCCCATAGCCAAGACTTGTCATGGCTGCTCGGCAGCCCCTTTCAGACAGAAAGGACAGCCCCTTGCAGGGGTGTATGCTTTTGATGTTTTGGAGTCTGTGCCTGCTTCCGGACCACAAATCCTCGTTTGCGTTCTACATTATCTCGTGCTCTGAAAGCGCGACATGTCATACATACCTAATGACGAGCGGATGTGGCATGTTGCACCTTCGATTTGCGCCTGCAGCAATGCACAAGTCTCATCGCCTAGATGCCCATCCGGGTCAAAAGACTATGTGGCACTGTTGTGGTTCCTGGTAGAGTGCGTTCGTTGCTGCTGTTGTTATTGATGATGGTGGTACTGGTGATGAAGGAGATGCTGTTGATGATCCTGCTAATGATGCCTGCGATTGTGCCCCGCACTGCTCCTTGTTGTTGATTCGCTTGATGATGATGGTGATGTGGACACTGGTGATCGCGACTCTGACGGTCAGGTTATTGTCGCAATGACGACGGTTATGGTGATAGTAGAGGATCATCGTAACTTTCACGATGATCGGCGACAATGACGGTGTGCTGATTGTGATGTTGGTGTGCTTGTTGTGCCGATGACTATTCTGCGTATCATAATATTGCTGTGGTGATGATGATGCTCCTGATGCGATCACGATTATCATGATCACGGGGCTTGGGGACGATGACGCCGTTGTGATTGTTGATGAAGGTGGTGAAGATGAATCTACTTCGATGACACACCATGGTTTGATTCGACCCAGCAAAGCCCTAACTCGCTGCACCCCTAAACCCGGCTTTCTTTCAGACGAGACTCCACCCAACACTGCGAGTCTGTGCTTCTTGGACAGTTTCAAATTCGCCAAAAACCCTCTGTCCAGCATCCCGGGCCCTTGCTTGCATACACCCTAAACCCTAAACCCAAAACCCTAAACTACACCCAACATCCTACAACGTCTTTAAGGTTTCGGGTGCACGCGAAAATCCAAGACTCCAAGACTCGGAACCCGCTCTAACGCCCGCTTCCGAAAAAAGAGAACGCTTCCGAGCCCTCGACTTCAGGCACGGGTAGCTTGCGCTTTCGCGACTTTTGGTATGCAGCAGTGGACACGCCGCCCAGTCAGGCACAAGAAGGGTTTGGGGTTTGGGGAGCTCTGGCGGCGGCCTGGTGTAGTAAAAGCCGCTTCTCTTTAAGGGGTCTCTTGAGATGCAGCATTCTTTACGCCCATGGGGCCAAGCTAGAAAGAAAACAAACGAAGCTTGCTCGAATTTTGGTTTGGCTCCCTGGCAGTGTATCATGGTGTCTATTCCTGCATTTCCTGCTTAAAAACGAAGAGGATCCATACTTGCAAGCGCCTCGCAGATCCTAACTCCTCAGCCCTAAACCTGGAACCCTGAACCCTAAGCCCCAAACCCCCAAACCCTAAACTCTAAACCCCTAAACCCCTCAACCCTAAACCCTAAATTCTAAATCCTCAGCCCTAGCCCCAGACCCCTGGGCAAAAGAAGGCCGAAGCCGAAGAGTCCCCGACCATGCAAACCAGGGTTTTAGGGGATTTAGAACTTAAAGGGTTCAGGGTTCAGGGTTCAGGGTTTAAAGGGTTCAGGGTTCAGGGTTCAGGGCTCAGGGCTTTGGGTTCAGGGTTCAGAGTTTAGGGTTCAGGGTTTAGAATTTAAAGGGTTCAGGGTTTAGGGTTCAGGGCTTTGGGTTTGACCCTGAACTTCGCGAGCCCCCCAGGCTCCACGAGACCCCCTCCCGCAAACCTCCCGCAACGCCCCAAGAGCAGCAGGAACCCTAATATAGAAGCCCCTAACTAGAGGAGTCATACTACTCCTGTATACTCCTCATTATGGTTGTTTAGTCATAATATTCCTTTACAGTCCTCAATGATGGTTGTTTAGTTATAATACAAATACACCCCGCAAGCCCTAGGCCCCCTGGTAATTCTCCAGGCCCGTCCACACTAAGCCTCCTGAACACTTTTGAGGAAACTCCTGTACAGAAGCCGTCTCTGCCCCTGTATGAAACCCGGACCTTTGCTTCCAAAGAGCTGATAGGAGAAGAGGTTGCCGGCCTCAACCAGCACGCACCTTCGCCGCCTTATTTTCGGAGTTTAGAGTGTAAAGGCTTAAGGCCGAGTAGGGTTCAGGGAAGAACGAAATTTCGATGACTGTCCCATAGAGATTGCTGAACGTGTAGATGAAGTAAATCTCGCGTCCCAAACAGCGCGTTGCTGATCGCTGGGGCCTTTCTATTCCTAAGTTCTAACCCTCTGCTCTTAGAGCGTGACGGCCTTTTTCAGGGTCCCTGGAGGGGCGCTTCTTGGGCATCCTTTTTCGGCTGCTCCGTCAGGGACTCCGAGCTCCAAAGAAGCTTCCACCCTAAACCCGAAAGGATTTGTGGTTTAGGGGCTTCGGGGTCTGCATCTTGTTTTCACTTTTTTTTGGTTTGAGGGGTTTTGGAAGCTGCTTCAAGCATTTTGGTCTTTTTTGTTTTTTCATGGCTTCGGTTTGAGACTTTTGTTTAAAGAAGGGGCCTGACAGAGCTCATATAGGTTTCTGGTATCCTTTCGCATAGGGCCGCGCAAGAATACTGTAGTAAAACAATGTCAAGGAGCCCTAAGACAGAGTGCTGGAAATTGTTCCGGCCCCGATATTGCAGTACCCTTATAGAACTTTACCCTTGAAGGAGGCCTCCAAGCCCAGGAATGCCCCCTCTAAGCCCGCCAAGCCCTTCAACTAACGAGTCTCAAACGTGCCTTAGCACTCCAAACTCGTAACTGCAGCTCAGGTGGAACCGACAGGAATCCCATCCGAGTATAGTAAGTTACAGTATACTACCAGTACGGTATATTACGGTACATTCAGTATCTTACAGCATACGATCCCACATTACCGACTTACTGAAAAGAAAGCGTTTAGGCTTCAGGGCTTCAAGTTTGGGGTTCTGGCGGGTTCTGGGTAAAGTTTTGGCGTTCAGCCGGGTTTAAGGCCAGGTTCCGTTCAATTCCCAAAGCCCGAAAGGTATAACACCGTTTGTAAAATCCTCGCCAAAACCACATGCTTTTAGTTGTCAGGTGCTTTTATAAACTCCTCTATAAAGTCCCTCCTTCAAGCGCCTTCTGAAGCCACAGACCTTATCTGAACCTTAAACCCGAGTCGAGCTGCAGCCCAGGCTTCTGGTGGTCTTTTACGCCGTGGTCGGGATCGCGTTCGCTTCCCGGCTCGGCTGGACACTCTTCACCTACCCGCTGCTGCCGCTTCAGACGGAGGTGCTTTGTGGATCAACAAAGACCCCCTTTGGGAGGAGTTCGGTAAGCGATTTGGTTGCGGCCGAAACACTCCAAAAAATGCATTTTCTGGGAGGGCTTGACTGGCTTTGCCAACTTCACCGGAGACCTTCACACCATCCTGAAAATGACGGGTCGCCCGGTAGCTCAGCTTTGCAAGCTGAACCCTAAACTCTGACCCCAGAGGCCCTAAAAACCCAAAGGCCCCAAGCCCTGAGCCCCAAACCTCAAAGCCCAAACACAGTCCCTTGCAGCCCGGCAAAAAGCCCCGTCGACGCCAAAATCGTGAGATCCAAAGTTTGCTCCCCCGAAGTTTGAAGCGGGCCTGACGTGGAGAAGAAGAAGGGACCCAGGGACCTAGTTGCTAGGACCTAGGACTATCAGTGATCGTTTGAATAGATAGCATAGGTTTTTTCAGCCCAGGCATTATGAATTATCAAGATTCCTAGTATTCCTAGTATTCGTAGCATTTTAATTCAAGCTACCAGAGGTATACTCACCCATGTCACCCATGTCAACCTCTCGGCTCGGCACTTGTGGTCCACTCTGGGGCTTATGGCCATGGGTGGGTTTAGGGTTTCAGCTATATGGGACTTTCCGAAACTTAGGGGTACCTTATTTTGGGGTCCTTTATAATAAGGATCCTACTATTTAGGGTACTATATTAGGGTCCCCTATTTTCGGAAACCCCCATATCGGGTGTTGAGGGCTGAGGATGGAGATGAGTGGCCCCAAAGATGCCCGAGCAACGGCCAACATCACGATTACGGCTAGTATATTGTAGCATACTATCGTATATCATAGTAGGCTAGAGTATACAAAAGTACACGATTATATAATATGATTTATGACATATATAATAACATACTCTAATGTACCATAATATGCTATGAAAACGCTTCAAACTCCAAGCCTGAAGCTGCCACCTCCACAGCTGCGCCCGAACCCCTCACGTCGAAACCCTAAAGCTCCAAAGGCCCCAACGTCCTAACTGCTGGGTTTAGGGTTTAGGGTTTAGGGTGTAGCGTTTAGGGTTTAAGGGTTTAGATAAGCCCCAAGCCGTACACCCTCCTGACGTCCCTCGCTCGGAGCAGGAACTTCCCAAAGTTGCGATGGGTGTAAGGTGCCGTATAGGTTGACAAGTGGAGGGTGGGACCTCCGGACCTTGACCTGCCCGGCCAGGATGCTAAATGGGCGTCAGAGTGGCTACTCACGACCGTCTTCGACATCTACACGGTGATTATCTGCCTCCTGGGGTGTCCCGCCTGCTTTCGACGAGAGGCTTAGGCCAGGGTTTAGGGTTTAGGGTCGTTTAGGGGTTTAGGGGTTTAGGGTTTAGGGTTGGTGTTGGGCAGGGGAGGCTGGGAATTTTTCCGCGCTCCCTCAAGAAGGGATGGCGAGTGTGTAAGGCTGCTGTAACCTTTCCCGAGAAACACCCTGCACTGTACCGTTTCATACATCACATTGTCTTGTAGCGTACAAGAGTACTACGGTACTATGAGCTTTTCTCTGGGGCTTTCCGAAAATAGGGGAC